TACAGTTTTGTACTCAGGAGGTCAAACACTTTCGACTAATATATTTGACCGCGCCCAAGGTCTCATAGATTAATTTACGTTAATTCTGTCTAAAAGAATTTCAATTTGAGGGTGGGTAGGCTGGTTGAATCAGGTATACGCGCGCCACACGCTTGGTATTACTGGCGCACAAAAATATAGCTAAATAAAAAAGGAAAAAACAAACAAAAAGGTCTCATAGATTAATTAACTCTAATCTTGCCTAAGAGAATTTCAAGTGCCGCGGCCATTGAGGATTCTCTATTGTTTTTTTCTTCTTAGAATTGTAAACATAATGGGAAAAAATCAAAGCTAACTTATTTTCCACGAACCTCTTATTAAACATAGGAATTTTCCAAAGGTGTGTCGTCATCTAGTGACACGGCGACATGACTGCGGAGTTATACCGCTAGAAACCGGGTTTTGATACCCGTGGTGGGCAGAGCACAAGTAGCCCTTTGTGCAGCTTTGTGATTAACACCAAACAACAACAAAGGTGTCTTTAACCTCGTGTAAACATAGCACGGAACTGCACTTGTACCGGAAGTGATGGTTTTTTTTTTTAGCGCAGAGCTACGTAATGGACTGCATGCGCTGTGATCAACGCGAGGTACCGAACCACGAAAGTTAGCGTTGTAAGTCTGCAGATTTACTGCCGACTCACCGAGAGACTTGACCGATTTAAACAAAATCATATTCTGTTATGATAATCAAAAACAAAAACTTAGCAAAATAATATTTGCACCTTATATATAAAGAGAGTTATTTAATATGAATAGATTTATTTGGAAGTTAAGTATTACGTTTTATTTCATAAATTTCTGTCAAAATAGCTTGTATTTATTACCCGTAACCGAAAACAGTATTTATTTTTATAGTTAAAAGGTGGCGTTCTTCGAATTCGGGCCAGTTTTATTCAACAACATTAATATTGTATTTCTTTTAAGCTCCCAGTGGCACAACGGTATTTCTGGGGATCTAACAACGCTAGAAATCGGATTTCGATACCCGTGGTGGGCAGAACGTTGTATAGTCTTGTGCTTCCAAACAAACAAAATCTTTTATACATTAGAAATAACATAAACATTTCGAAACGTTGGCTTGGACTTGACGAATTGAATTATTTCAGTTTAACAGAATAACACAACATTTTCACTAACCTGTTTCATTTCTAGTTATGATATTAACTTTTAGTTCTTCGAATTTAATGAAAATGTTAACTTGTTCCGTTCTCATACATAATCTGATTTAATTCCAGATAACAAGCCGAGGTGAATTTTATTATTTTGTATTTCTCTCATATAATAAGCCAGTTACTGAACTTGCTTTAGTGGTAATGATAGAAAAATAAGAATAATGTATTAATAAAAAATGATCATTTTGTGCGCTTTTTGAAAGATATATATATTTTTTTCTTTTGCAGTCTGCGAGTTTCCTTAGTTTCTCGATAGTGCTCTGAAAGATAGAACGCGTATTGTGATCAATACATTTTTATGACGTAATTCTCAATATCGATTAGAAACTGCGTTCGTGTCTTACAGGTTTTGCGAATTGACTACGGACCTACAGGAGAGGACGCATCTTTCTGGTCTATAGAAAGGAACTGTACAAACCATTGCCAAGAAGGCTGCGTTGTGTTAGGAGAAAAAACGAAGCTGTATCATTGTCGATCCTGTTGTCATGGCAACTTGTGTAATAGTGGCGGTTATGCGCCACCTATCGCTCTTCCTTCTCATTATTTCATTTATGTGCTTTTTAGTATTGCTATCGTTTGTATCTGAATGAACAGGCAGTTCATGCCAAATTTTTATATGACCTATTATTCATATTTACTAATATTATATATATATATCTATTTAAAGTACAGTGAATATTATAGGTGAACACATATATATGTATATCATTCACTAAAAACATACGTAGTTTTGTTTCAAGTGTGAAATTTGAGACTATATATTTTAAAAGTGTTTCAAAATTCTCGGTGTGGAACAGACTGGTTTCATTAGTTAGGGACAACATGTTAAAGCTCGATGATATCTATTACAGTTTATTTTCATCTATAATTAAATAAACTGATTCAAAATAATCATGGATTTATTCCATTTTTATGTGCTGTATAAGGTAATTTATGTCTTCTGAGATTTGATTATCATATAAAACTTGGACAAAACTTTAAACTGGTATATGCCATGTTTTATTAATAAATATCTTAATCATTTTTTGCTTGAAGTAATTTAAAATATTTCTAAATCAGGTCTTAGATATTTTATAAATATATAATGTTTGTTTGTTATGGATTTCGCGCAAAGCTACACGAGGGCTCGACTCGCAATCTGCGGGTCGCGGGTTCGAATCCCCGTCACACCAAACATGCTCGCCCTTTCAGCCGTGGGGGCGTTATAATGTGACGGTCAATCCCACTATTCGTTGGTAAAAGAGTAGCCCAAGAGGTGGCGGTGGGTGGTGATGACTAGCTGCCTTCCCTCTAGTCTTACACTACTAAATTAGGGACGGCTAGCGTAGATAACCCTCGTGTAGCTTTGCGCGAAATTCAAAACAAACAAACAAACAGTAATAATGACACTTATTCCCTCTGTTTACCTTAACAATAAGATCAATAAAAACTTTTGTGTTGCCGCCATGGTAAAGCAGGTTTATTATCTTCATATACAACTGTATTTAAGTTAATTTGTTGTTTAATCCTCTCACGATAATTGAGAAACTTACTTCCCATGTTTCTTATAATAGTAATTATGCAATTAAGTAAATTTTACATTATTTAAGTCAGCCAAATTGTTAACGAAATTCATTATTTTGTGAATATTCACAGTGATTATTATAAATGATTGTGTTTGTTTTGTTTTCGTTAATTAGGAAGCTAAACAATGGAGTATCTGTGCACCATCCACTGCAGGTATCGAAACCCGATTTTTAGCAAGGAGCATAATTAATGTTAAAACTGATTTTAGAAAATTATATTGTAATAATAACAATGGTCGTCATTGTTATAAAACTAATTCATTATGATAACTTTGATAAAGACTGTGAAAAAAGTTTTGGAAATAAAAATGTGTGATTTAAAAATGGGGTTCCTTGGTGGCTCTGAAGTAAGCCTGTGGGTTATAAGGCTATAATTCGGGGCTCGTTACTTACAGCAAACATAGTACATTGTGTATGTAGCTTTACGCCAAAACACAAATTAAAACATTATAAATTTAGTGATTACAGATTAATCTCTTTCTGGTCAACTTGTATTATTGTACCATATCATCTCGAACCAAATTGCCAAGCTATTTAACTTTAGTCAAACAAAAACATAATAGATTTAATCGTACGATTTACTGACAATAATACACAGAAGTACAAAATCTGTTGTTTAAAAGACAATATAACAAGTATTCAAGATCTGACACGAAACAGTAGCAAATAACGAAAAAATTTTATTTCGACATTTTTGGTGACTATATAGTTCAAAAGTATTGAGGGAAAATGACAATTTCTTATTACATTAAACACAGCCTAATTCTAGAATTTCACAGGAAAACACCCATAGCACGAGATCCATACAGGCCTATTTGAGTTTTTACTGAAAACTTCCCCATATTAATACGAATGACGGTATATTTATAACATGAAACAGGGTAATAAAAATGCAGAAATAATAAACACGAGTTGCGCAATCACGTGCAAAACCATGGGAACTACACATATCAAAACAAAATCGAAAAAGTTTCATAATATTATTAATGCGTGTCACGATGTTTCAAGCAAAACAAAATGAATAACAAATAGTCTACTTCTAATTATGGTTACTAGATGTCGCTTTAATATGAATGATATTTTTAATCGTAGAAACATTAGTTGGAATAATTTTCTCAAACGTTTCTAATGAAGGTACTTCGTCATTTTAGAAACTTTATTTGTTTATATTTCACAAGGTAAAAACGATAAAAAACAAAATTAATTTCATTAGAAACAACTAGAATTGAAACATATGGACCATAGAATCATTTCATACAAGTTACTAACAAAGACAATGCATGGAAGTAAATAATACGCTATTTTCAAGACAAAAGAATTTATTGTGATATACTGTCGCAAATAATTAGCTTAAACCATACTAATTTAAAATACACTAATCTAATAAAAGTAGTTTTGGGTTTCAAATTAATTATCAGCAACAGATAATATGGGGATATTAATATATTTCAAAACTATGCCAGTTTCATTTCTGTGTTATAATAATAAACTATACATTTTTAACTGCTGGCTTAGGCCGAACTTAGTTCACTGAACTAATTATCTTATCGAACGCTTTTTGTTTTAGTTATTGCAGTTTCTGGGTTTTTTTCCTTTCAAGACCAATACTAAATATATATATGTTCATTTTATCAATTTTATTTTAATTTTATAGACAAGAGCTACACAATTTCGTTAGAGAAAAACTTCAAGTTTATAGATTAACGCCATCAAATGTGTATACTAACTTAACGGGTGGGAAGCATTAAGGTAACTATTCTCAAAACTTATCTATTGCTGGGTGAAGTTTATAGAGGTAAAGACAGAGAGAGGGGGGTAGGGATAATTAAAAGAAACAGAAAGTTGACAAAAGCACGTGACAGTGTGTGATTTTGCCATGATACACGAAGCTTGATGAGATACTCTTATAACACGCTGTATTAGGATTAATGAGTTGTAGTTATAATATATTGATAAACGGCATATATCCAAAATATTGAGATATAAAAATTGAAGTAAGAAAAATAAATCCAGAGAAAACGAATATATCAAATATTAGTTCGTTTATTTTAATTTCACCATTCCGCGTGTTTTGGTAATTTATTTATCAGTAGATGGCAGCCCCATCGGCAGTCGTAATCTGAAGATATTCTTCGGGTAACAAAAAATAAATAAACAGTTTATTTTTGTTTAGAATAGTTGTATTCAAGTTTCTTTTATTCCATGTTACCAAATTATTTGTTCTCGCTCATAGTCTTCAGTTTCATTAATGTAACAATATAAAATTAAAAACTTTTAGTTGGTATGACAGATATTTTTTAAACACGATGAACAGTAAAAAGCTCACAGAGTTATAATTTGGTTAAATGTTTTCCTTATTTACAAGAGTACTTTCATTCAAAAATTGTTTCATTATCATTGTTGTTATTCTTTTATGACTCTTTGTTTAAATAATTCAGTGTTAGCAAAAACAAAACAAATTACTGGTTTAATTTATTAATTTTATCTAATACTAACTAGATGTCGTTAATCCCTTGATTAATAGCAATTTTTCCTTTTTTAAAAGGAATGATTTAAATTGTCAAAACATTCAAAAAACAGCTAAATGGGATGAAAAAAAAGTACAACAAACCACGTTTCGTCATCGTTAAAATGAGATCATCAGGTACGCAGCAAAAACGGTGAAAAATAATTATGGTATAATGCAATTGATCAGTATGTGTTATTTTAAATTGAATTTTCGTTGTAATGAATATATACAAATATATGCATACATAATGTCTTCTAGTGTTACGTTTCGTCGTTCGAAAAAAAGGTTTTTAAAGTTTTGTTTCATTTCTTTGAAGCTTATGAACTCAAATCGTTCAGATTTTATTTCTAGTAGAATTTTGTAAAGTTTGAAGGCCATGGTCAAAAGTTTCTTATTGTCTGGGGTTTCAATTAAAATAAAAGTAAACTGAATGCCCAAATAAAAGAAAATCCACGCACTCTACGCCACCTTGCTGCCATGAAGTATATATTTTGTGATGACAAATATGGTGTTGCTATGACTGTCCGTTTTGCACTACATAAATAGATAAAGCTATAAGTAATCAAGCACAAAACTACACAGTGAGCTATTTATGCTCTGCCCATGACGGGTATCGAAATCCGGTTTCTAACGTTGTAAGTCTGCAGACATACCGCTGTGCCACTACAAGACCGGGTGAGAGATAGCAGTATATAAACAGGTTTAGTTTCTAAAGAAAAGACGCAAATATCGATTTCCATATAAAAGGGTAAAGTTCATATACCACCAGTAGATGGCAGCACAAAACCATGTTTTACCCATAAAATAAAAGACAAGACAGCTATAGTAAGCATGTTATAAAGCGAAATATAAAGGAATCTACACTGTTATTGTAAGCTTATTTCATTCTTGGCTTTCATTTGCTTTAATTTCAATAATCATTTATTTCCTCATGCTAGCACCTGATACAGCTACTATGTTAAATCATGCTTCATTACTTTCTTTACGTATAGTTGTATAAAAATTAAAATTATAGCCTATAAGAAAGATCTATTCTTTTTTATTAATACCTATTACGAAATGTTTCAGCCTTTCGAATAAGGCACTGTTTAAAATCTCCAAAGTGCGTTATCAACACGACACACTCATGTTATTTAATGGTTTGTTTAGTACAATGTGTCTGTGTTTTAATTACACCCAAGATTACATACTATATCGTCAAGGCATTGTTTAGTATAATGTGTTTGTGTATTAATTACACCCAAGATTACATGCAGTACCGTTAAGGCATTATTTATAACAATGTGTTTGTGTATTAATTATATCTAAGATTACGTGCTATACTGTTAAGGCATTGTTAGTATAATGTGTCTGTGTTTTAATTAAGCCTAAGATTACGTGCAGTAGCATTGAAATAATGTTTAACACAAGACCAAGCCTAAATAATAAATAACGTTGCAAGTAATTTAAGATAAATTAAGATGTTTATATATGATATGGTAGAAATTACTTTTCATGTAACAGTCATCTTTATGATTATTACTACATATACTTTGTTCAGATTTGTGTTATCTCCGCTTGTATTAAGAGATCTTTGGCTTTCTTTTTCCCATTTTTTTTAGATTATGTTTCACTTATGTTATTTTTGTTTCCATTTTTTTTAGGAATAATAAAAACGATATTAACAAATAAATATATCTTTCACATGTTTTTAGTAGTAACAAAAAGTCTAATATCTAAATATTTAAAGAAACACTTTCAAATCTGTAATACGATAACATGTAAGCTCACATTAAGCAAACTGTAGTTTTGGGTAAAGTCTGTTTTAGAATGGAAGACTATAAAGATCTATGAATATTTTAAAACTACAACTATGCCTAGCTATCTTCCATGCACATAGACATCTGGAACTACATTTGTTGGCAAGGCTGATGAGAGCTGACATTGAAATCTTTTTCGGAATGAAAAAAGTATAAATACGTGTGTGTTTTTCTTATAGCAAAGCCACATCGGGCTAT